CTCCAACATTAAAGGCAGAAATACTGGTCATTTTGACTTTAGAGAAAGGTATTTCTGATATAAACCACTCAGTCCATCTGATAAATGTCAAATGGCCCATACTTAATACCTTCTATGACTGTAGGGTCATCTGCTGGGCCCCTGGCAGCTCAGAGCCAGACAGAAAGAGATGAGAAGGGCTGTTTCTGTCCTGGGCTGCACTCTGGACTCAGTGGAGGAAGTGGCTGAGAGGAGGATGCTGTCCAAGCTTACGTCCATCATGGACAACACCTTCCACCCTCTGCACCAGACTGCAGAGAAGCTGAACAGCTCCTTCAGTGAAAGGCTCTTACACCCTGCTTATAATAAATAGTGCTACCGCAGGTCATTCATCTCATCAGACTTTAAAATGTGGCACTATAAGAGCAATAATTTGTGCAACATCTAATGTGCAATTACTATTTAATACCCTGTTCATATACAGTTCAAATACCCTGTGCAATAACACTGTACAATAATACTGTTGAATAAAAGACTTCAGCTGTTATAAATATACATGGATGCACTGTATATGGTGTATATGCCCCTCCATTTTTGCTCCTCTACATTCTGAAATTCAGCTTGTGCTGCAATGATGTAAATATTTTAGTTCTAACTAGAAATGGGAATTTCTAGATCACTTTGGTGATCTACATTTGGAACAAGAGAGGTGTCCTCTCCCTGTCCTTTGCAGCTGTAATGCTGTTGCTCGCCATTTTAAACACTTTAGGTTGTTTTTTTTAATTCATACACAAAAATCTCTCAAGTTTCTGTGGTGTTAAATTGTCACTTCCTGTTGGCCCGTTGTCAGAGCTGGTAAAACTCAAAGCAGCTTTTATTAAACTAAGAACTCACAGTTAAACTAAGACTTAGACTTGACCTTAAACTAGATCAATTAGGAGTTGAGGATTTGAGTCTGTTAAACAGACCTTTTTCAGATTTTTAACATTTCACTATTTAGACACGTTTTAAAACGGTTCCTGACACCAGAAGCTGCTGCATAACAAGCCTTCCATCTGAAGAGATGTTGAACATTGCCTGCCGGCTCTAAACACACACATACACACTTTTATACATATATATCTAATTCTGGACAGGCAGAACACAATTAGAAAATACAGTAGATCAGATCAGAAAAGTGAAATGTGGGAAATCATTTGTATTTAACCATTAGGGACAATTAGACCACGTTCAGCAGTCAAATATTAAAAGAATGTTTCTCTTTAGATGGTGTGGGTGGCTCTTAAAAGAGCCGTTGGGTTTATTGGTTCAGTGGAGGTGCTTTACTTGGTCTTGGTAGCCTTCTCGGTTTTCTTGGGCAGCAACACAGCCTGGATGTTAGGAAGAACACCGCCCTGAGCGATGGTAACTCCGCCAAGCAGTTTGTTGAGCTCCTCGTCGTTGCGGACAGCCAGCTGCAGATGGCGGGGGATGATCCTGGTCTTCTTGTTATCACGAGCAGCGTTTCCAGCCAACTCCAGGATCTCAGCAGTCAGGTATTCCAGCACTGCAGCCAGATAGACGGGAGCTCCA